ATTTTCTTTTTTGCTCTTTTTGAGACAAGGTCTCCCTGTAGCCCCAGCTGTCCTGGAACTCGCTATGTACACCAGGCTGGCCTTGAACTCACAGAGATCCGCCTGCCTCTGCCTCCCGAGTGCTGGGATTAAAGGCGTGCGTCACCATGCCCTGCATGTATGAGTACTTTGCCTACATGTATTTAAGTGTACCATGTGTGTGCAACGCTCTTAGCGGCCAGAACTGGAACTGGAGTTAAGAAAGGTTGTTAGCTGACATGTGGGTGCTAGTTACCGAACCCTGGTCCTCTGCAAGAGTAGCCAGTGCTCTTAACTGCTGAGTCATCTCTCCAGCCCCTGTTTCTTTGTATAAGTCAGGGTCTCATGCATCCCAAACTGGCCTCAAAACTATGTAGCCAAGGATGACCTTGAATTTCTGATTCTCTACCTCTACCTCCTGAGTCATTGGGATTACAGGCATGTGCCACCATGCCTGGTTTATGTGGTACTGGAGATTAAATCCAGGGCTTCATACATGTTAGACAAGCACTCTACCAACTGAGCTATATGTACATCTCCAGCCACAAGGGTTTTGCCAGATGGTGAAAACGTGGAGGGCCTTGCACAAGAGAAGCCTGTGTTCCCAGCCTCTTCTCTGCCCTCCTATGACTCCCTAGTCTCCCTTCCAGTATTGATTCTGAATGCCACAGGAGGGGAATGCTTTCTAAGAGAGCTAGTAAAAGTAGGTAGTAGGGTTATAATCTCTCCTCAGGTAGTACACACCCTCCTCCCCAGTACAGTACTGCTGTACAGAGTAGAGATGGCCTGTGAGGGCACCTCTTTTTAAGGAAGAGTAACAGGCTATGATTTCAGAAAAATAATTCCTCAGGGTTTTGGTCCAGGAAGCTGTGCTGAGATGTGGTTCCCATCATGGCTGTGTGCTCATGGGTCTTTCTTGCTCATCCTAGGAGTGGCTGCTGTGTGCATCCTCAAGTTCACCACAGGGCAAGAAAGGAGGGCTGCCCACTGGCCTAAAGTGGAGTGTGATGGAGAGACACAGGCACACCACTGCACTTAATCCTTCCTATGTGTCAGATGATTTGGAGAGCACTGATTAAGAAAGAACTTTCCTGATTGATGGGAAAAAAGAAAACCTCAGTTATCAGCATCTACCCTTGTAGGTTGTACAATATACATAAAAATAAAATGGAAAAGATGAGTCCCAAGCATAAACATAGAAGTCCAGCTCCTGTATGTATACATGTACTGGAAAAGCCTGTAAGTACCTCAAACTCCTTGTATCCAATGCTTGTAGGGGACCCCTAAGGTCTGTTTTGATAGCTTAATATTTAATTAGTGTGCATTACAGTGTATAATGGTACTATTCAATTGTATATCTTGACCCATGTACATACTCATCAAATTACCACATAATAGCAGTAATCATGGTGGTACATAATTTCTATCATCCCTAAAGATCCTCCTTATCCCCAACCCCACCTCGTCTTTGTCCTGTCATCATACATACCAACATGTCATGCTGTCCTCTGCCCCATACTGCCAGTGTCAGCTCTCCGTTTTCTTGCTGTAGGATGGGAACCATGCAAACTGAACCAGCCAGGTTCCTTTTCCTGGGTATGTGGATCTGGATAGGACACCGTGGTAGTCCACCCATCCCTGCTACACAACTTCAAGGGCCAGTTCTGGTCCTTCCTGCAGCCTGCCTGCTCTATGAACTGCCTACCTGCCAATGTCCTCCATTGCTTCATTTTGTCCATTTGTTGCTTTCAAACAGAGGTTCCAGATAAACATGTTTCATCCGTAGTCACTGTTTCAGAAGTGACACCACCAGAGTCTAGTCTTTCAAGCTTACCCTTGAAGAATCCCTTAAGACCAGTGTTCACTCTGTGTCCTCCTCTAACCCATCACTAATTCTTGAAGTTCTGCACTGTCACATCTGCATTAAGGGTCTTCCTCCCTCCATCATCATGTTTCTCTAGTACCTAGTACTGCCACTTAGCACAGACGAGGTTCTCAGTACAGGCTTAGTAAATAACTGAGCAGCCAGGGGCCTTTCACCTATATCAAGAACAAAGGTAACTTGGGTAGCACATACTTGTAATCTCAGCACTTGGGAGGTAGAAGTAGGATGATCAGGACTTGAAGGCCAGCCTGTGGTATAAGGAAAAGAAGAAGAAGGAAGAGGAGGAAGAGGAGGAGAAGAAGAAGAAAAGAGAGAGCAGAAAGGTAGAAAGCCATCTGCATGTGTGCATTTATCAAGTGGTAGGACTTCAGGGTCACTTTTTATTTTCACAAATATTTTCATTCAAAACAAATGACAGAGCTTGGATCCAGGACTTCTGACTCCAACTTTAACGCTATTTCCACCATATTATTTATTACATTACACTTTCATCCCTTTCCTTCATCCAAAGCTTCCTGTCTACTTCCATCCAGCTCAGATCCTTACACACTGGGTACTAGATTGCACACGTGAGATACGCTCTAAAGTATAAGCCTTTCCCATAGTATTCACTTACATAGGAACATTGTCTGCATGGAGAGGCACTAGGAAAGAATTCCAGCAAGGAGGCTGGGTGAACTGGGGTCAGGGATATGATTAAACCTTCCTGGACCTGGGGCAGAAATCAATACCGTTGTCTAAGTTGAAAACAGTATGCAGGGCAGGAGCAATGCCCTGTGTCAAACAAAGACTCCATATGTAGTTGAAATCACACTTTATTTAATAACCTGAGTATATATTCTTTTGGCTTAAAGTCTTTCCAAATGAACAATAAGTCAGACATGTCTGCCCCCTCCTCTAAGAGCGAGTAAGACAAGTGTATATGCCTAGAAATGTGTCTGCTTTAGAGTCATTACAGTCTCGCTTTAATGAAAGCCTTATTCTAACAATGCTTGAGCCTTAAGTGAAATGTCCTGTGAGTGATGCCCTCCTCTCCCAGGCCCTCCTCCCTCAGATTTGGTCCTCAAACTCCAGCAAGCCAGGTCTCCAGAGACATCAGCATGCACACGGCCTGAGAGCCTGGAGTGGATGTGGCTCATGCCCTTGGCTCTTGACCTTCTGCTTGAGGAGCGTCTCTGGGGGAGATGAGGGTTGGTATCCTGGCAGTTTCTCTTCAGAGTTCTGCACTTTCACTTGTAAGTATCTAGAAAGTAAACATGATTTCATTAGATGCTGGGCAGCAGTCTCTGGTGAGGGTGGCACTATGACACTGGCTGGGACTGCCCCAAGGACACACTGCAGGGTCTGTACGCGGCAGCACTGCTTCTTTAGGAGATGCACAGAGAAACCCATCCATTGCAGTAGAGGCAGCTGGTCTAAGGAATGTGCACCATGTGCTGGGGGAACTGATGAGGTGTTTCTCAGGAGTTGGAAATTCTAGAACCAATTTTGTGACCCGCTTTTAGTAAGCTTTATTTTATAGGATATATTTTGTATTTATCTAGTAATTCATGGCTCTGCTTTATGTCACTTCTGTCTCATATTCTGAGTTGTGCTGCACTGTATGTATAAGTAGGGGATGTATGCTTTTGTGTATTTGTTATATAACTTCAATCTTGAAACAAGTACAAGCTGGGGAGAACCCACATAAATGCCAGGCAGGTACGGTGACCTGTCTGTGATCTCAGCACTCGAGATGGGGAGCCAGGAGATCCTTGGGGCAAGCCAGACTAGCTGAGTCAGCAAGCTCTGGGTTCAAGTGAGAGACCGTGTTCAGTGAGTAAAGTGGAGAATGATTGAGAAAGACACTTCATGGCAACCTCTGGCCTCCACATACAGGCACACACACATATACACACACATGTACCTATACACATAACACCATTACCCACCCACCTACCCATACAAAATATATGCAAAAAAAGCACATTCATAATCAGGTACTTAGTAGATAAGGCTAGTTTAAGGCCAGGCTTTGGGAATGGGTCACAAACCCTGTAAAGTCCCAGTTTATTCTTGTTTTGTCTGACTCCCACCTGTTTGACTTTAAGGTGTTGCTCACTGCTAGATTCTCCTTATGCATAGCCAGCCCATGGTGAGGATTTCAGCCTACAGCCAATCTCATCTACTCAGTGCCCATAGTAACTGCCCACACTGTTCTCGGTATATCTGGTCTCTCCCCATCCTCTTCTCCCTCCCCTCCTCCTCTTCCTCCTCCTTCTCCCCCTCCTCTTTTTCCTCCTCATCATCCTCATCATTCTTTTCTTCCTCCTCTTTCTGTTCTTTTTTCCTTCAGAGTATGAGGTAGCTCAGGCTGTCATCATACTGGCTATGTAGCTAGCCAAGGATGACCTTGAACTCCTAATCCTTTTGCTTCCACCTCCCTCCCAAGTACTGAGATTACTGGAGTGTACCACTATGCCAGGTTTATGTGTTGCTGGGGAGTGAATCCAGGGCTTCACGCATACTAGGCAAGCATTCCACCGACCAAGCTACAGCTCCAGGCCTCCTTACCTCTTCTGGAGGGTTGGATGCTGTGGTAATGTTTTCTCCTGGATCTGAAGAGACATGAAGCTGAAGGCTTTGGTCCTGCAAAGATAGCAGTTCTGCCAATGAGAGGTAGCTCAGTCTTCCCAGCCCCTCATTGTGAAAGGTCTTCTGTGCCTTACACTTTCCAAGGGTCATAAACAATACAAAGGACAAGTATGTAATACTGTTTCCCTGAGCCTGAATCATCAGGGTAGGCTGTCCCCTGTGCTCTTCTACAGATAAAAACAAAAGAAGATTCAAAGGGCTCTATGACTTGCTGACCAGGAAAATAGGTCTTGGATTTCAAAGCTGTTCCCATCATTGGACACCCTGTGATCTGTGTGGCGTGCTCTTGTATGTGCGCCTATGGGAAAGCCTTCCAACTTCTGCTGGCCACTTTCAAATGAATTCTCCTCAGGATGCATTGCAGCTCTTCTTCATAAGTGATCCTACAGTGAGTAGGAGACGTAAAGGGCATAATAGTTTCTTTTTCATGTGTTTGTGTGTGCATGTGTGTGTGTGCGCACGCACATGTGCAAGCCAGAGGTTATTTTGGATGTCTTCCCTTATCACTCTCCATCTTTTTTTCTTATTTTCAAAATTATTTTTTATTTATTTGTGTGAGTGTATGCAGGCACATGCCTTGGGGCACACGTGAGGTTGAAGGACAACCTGTGGGAGTGGGTTCTCTCCGTCCACCATGTAGGTCCCAGGGGTCTAACTCAAGTTAGTGATCTTGTTTCTCCTCTACTTTTTTGTTTTTGTTTTTATCTTTTTGAGACAGGGTGTCCCTGTGGCCCTAGCTGTCCTGGAACTCGCTATGTAGATCAGGCTGGCCTCGAACTAACAGAGATCCGCCTACCTCTGCTTCCCAAATGCTGGGATTAAAGGTGCACACCACCACACCAGGCTCCACTTTTTTTTTTTTTTTTTTTGGTTATTGTTACAGGGTCACTCACTGAAGTTGGAACTCACCAATTTGACTAGATTGGATGACCAATCAGCTCCAAGGAGTCTCCTGTCTCCATCTCCCCAGTGCTGAGGTATCAGACATGTGCCCTTTTACATAGATGCTAGGAATCCAAACTCAGGTCCTTATGCTTCATGGTAAGTACTCTACTAACCAAGCCATCTTCCCAGCCCCATAATGGTTTCTTTGGGGAAAGTTAAGTCCTGAAATGGGAAACCCAAACCACAAGCTCTGCCAAAGAACTATCCCAGAAATTCTTAGCACATTAACATTTAAACTATTTTATTAATTGTGTATGTGTGTGCATGCATGTGAGTGCAGGTACCTGTAGAGGCCAGAAGACCTGATTAGATTCCCTGAAGCTGGAGTTACGGATGGTTCTGAGTCATCCATGTGGGTGCTGGTAACTAAACTCAGGTCCTCTACAAGAGCAATAAGTGCTCTTAACCACTGAGTCATCTCTCCAGCCCTGCTTTATTTTTTTGCGTAAGGACACAGGTAGCTCAGTGGTAGAGCACTTGCCTCACGTGCACAAGTTCTGAGATTGATTGCCAGCACTACAAAAATCATTTAAATAGAAATTTAGTCCACTGAGTAATACACATGCATTATAAAATTTATCCTTTAAAAAAATAGAAGCAGTTGGGGCTGAAGAGAGAGCTTAGCAGTTAAGAGCACTGGCTGCTCTTGTAGAAGACCTGGGTTTGAGTCCCAGCACGCACATGGTGGCTAACAACCATCCATAACTCCAGTTCCAGGGTATCTGACGCCCTCTTCTGACCTCCTCAGGTAATGCACAACAGGGGTGCACTTACATACATGCAAGCAACACATTCATACACATAAAATATAAAAATAATAAAAATATTTTTAAAAATAGAAGCAGTTACTAACGTTGGAAGCCACTTGAAATCCTGTGCTTGAGGATTTCCCCTTCCTTTCTAGACCGCAAATGAACTCAAAGGTACTATTGCCTCCTAAAAGTTATCAAAACCAGTTGTGCTTCAGCAGCACGTATATACATCAGACTTTAAAATAAAGATCCAAAGCTGGAGAGATGGCTCAGTGGTTAAGAGCTCTGACTGCTCTTGCAGAGGACCCAGGTTCAATTCCCAGCACCCACATGGTGGCTACGAACCATCCTTAACTCCAATTCCAGGGGAATCCAATGCCCTCTTCTGACCTCCTCAGAAACTGCACAACATGGGTGCACCTACTTTCAAGCAGGCAATACATTCATACATGTAAAATAAAAAAAAAATTAAAAAATTTAAAAAAAAGATCTTGAGTTGGTTTTGCAGAAGACCCGAGATTGATTCCTGGCACACAAAATAAAGATCTATCTGTAACTTTAAAATGAAATTATCAAAACCTTCCTTCTTTCTCAGTTGATTAAATGCTGAGCAAGGAGGCTACTTTTCTAGGGGAAGGGAAGGGCTTAACTGGGGATTGAACCAGGGCCTTACAGTCTATAAGCAAGCACTCTACCCCTAAGCTGTATTCTAAGCCCCCTTTTACTTTTAAAATTTATTTATTTATTTATTTATTTAGTGTGTGTGTGTGTGTGTGGTAAATGTGCATGAGAGGGTCTCCCTGTAGCCCCAGCTGTCCTGGAACTTGCTATGTAAACCAGGCAGTTTCTTTTCTTTTTATTTTGTTTGTTTTCTTTGAGACGGGGTCTCCCTATAGCCCCAGCTTGCCTGGAACTCACTATGTAGACCAGGCTGGCCTTGAACTCACAGAGATCTGCCTGCCTCTATCTCCCAAGTACTGAGATTAAAGGCTTGTACCACCGCGCCTGGCCCAGTTTCATTTTCAATTATCCACTTGATATGTAATATGATATGTGATATGATACATATGTAATATGATACCCTGTTTGAAGAAAACATGATTTGTGATACATCTCCAGGAAACAGTCTACCTTCAGGACATCACTTCAGAGGACTAGTGACAATGACAGGCTGAGATCTAAGATGCTATGGTCACTTAATTCCACAAGAAAAATATATCTCCTTAGCTGATGGCCAAAGCAATCCTAGAGAGGCTAGATGTAAGGGAACATTATCAGCTTCAAAAGTAAGGGGGCTGCCTTGGGGAGACTGTGGCCGCACCTCTTTCCCAGCGAGGCCAGTGTTACCAGCTTGTTCCTCAGAATGGTCAAACAGCACCTTGGCTCCCATAATCTCCTTTTCAATATAATTACTCCAAGAATGTAAATTTGTTTATTCTTCCTCAGAGCGAAACAGAAGGTCATTGTCTATTATTGTCTCTACATGAAAATCATACAAGTACATGCAAAGTCAAACAGAAAACGGTTTGGGAAGCCAGGTGTGGGCGCCACATGCCTATAATCCCAGCATTTGGGAGGTAGAAGCAGGAGGATCAGGAAGTCAAGGCCATCCTCAACTACACAGTGAGTTCAAGGCTAGCCTGGGTTACATGAGATACCATCTCAAAATTAATAACAATTTAGGATCTTTTCTTTCTTCCTTTTCATGTGTATGCAAGTTTCCTACCACTGAGCTACACTCCTTTCTCTGAGCGGTCTTTTTTGAAGTAGAAAAATGAGAAGGGGCCACACTGCACCTGTGCAAAATGCTACCTTAACCCTCTGCTTATCTTAACCACATAGTGTCCTGCACCTCTCCCTGTCAGCATACCAACTACAGGATATTGCTCTCTGGTGGCACTCAAAATGACCAAAGCTGGAGGCATAACATACTGATGACAGATTTTGGTACCTCAGGAGAGTCAACTGAGATGAGCTTACTGTCCTCTTCTTTGTCTTCTGTGGTCCTCACTTCTCCAGGTTCTGGGAAATCCTGCAGATCAAATGAACAATGTAGGAGACAGCCTCATCCTGGACACTACCCTGAATCCTCTGACCGCATTGCTTCTGCCAGACAGAGGAGGCTCCCCAGGTAGCCTGGCCAACTTTCAGTTGAGCACAGTCAGAGGAGCAAGATAGTGTAATTTGAGGGGTACCAGGAATCTCATTCTCTCCTCCTAGATATCCATGTGGCCCATGTCCTGACCTTCTGCAGTGCTCAAACATCTCCTTCTTTCACCCACTCTCTTTGTTTTTTTTTTTTTTTTTTGGTCTTTTTGAGACAGGTTCTCCCTGTAGCTCCAGGTGCCTAGAATTTACTCTGTAGACCAGACTGGCCTCGAACACACAGAGGATCCGCCTGCCTCTGCCTCTGCCTCCCTAGTGCTGGGACTAAAGGCCTGTGCCACCACACTGGGCTGGCCCACTCTCTTTAAAATTAATAACCATCTGTAACTCAGGGGATCTGACACTCTCTTCTGGCTCCTATGGGCATTGCATGCATGGATGTACTTACACACTTGCAGGCAAAACACTCCTAACATAAAATAAATAAGTTAAAAAATTTGTAATGGGCGAAGGAGCTGGAAATGGTGGCACATACCTCCAATCCCAGTACTTGGGAGGCAGAGGCAGGAGGAACAGACATGTTTAAAGTGGGCCTGGTCCACAGTTCTAGGCCAGCCAGGGCTAAATAGTGAGTCCTTGTCTTAAAACACCAAAACAAAAAACACAGAAAGTGAATCAGAGAAGCCCACATTAATGTTCTGGGGGCCCCCTCTTTCTCTCCTAAACCTTACGTTTGAGCCTCTATTAAAATAGCTTTATTAAAATGAAACAAAAAAGACCAAGCAGCTCTCACTTACCTGGGTAGTGCTCACGGGGGAAGCACAGGGCTCTGGGCTCGGGCAGCCGGGGGTTTCTTTTTCTCTGGCCTCAGGAGCTCTCAGCGGCTTCTCAGGTGGTTCTGGACTGGGAGAGGCTTCTAAGGAGGCCCTAAGACTGTCAAGTGAACCCTCTCCAGTGGCTGGAGGGCTCCCGGGTCCATTCCCTGAGGCGGGCCTGGGGCTTAAAGTGGCTCTAGGTGGAGGAGGCCGACTGGGGGGAGCTGAGATCCTCTGGATAGAGGCTCTCTTTGGCTGTTCGGCTCCTTCACTTGAGGTGCGGGTTCGGAGAACTACTGGGAGAGAGGGTGAAGGCTGCAATGAAGGGGTCAAGTCTCCATCTAGCGACGGAGCTGGGGAGCAGGGGAAAACGTCCTCCCGGGACTTGCCCCCCTCAGAGCCTGGAGAGGCTGGGACTTGAGTTGGCCCACTGAAGGCTGGTAGTGGCTCTTCCTTCTCAGGAGAGCTTGCTTCAGACTTGTCTTCCTCGGTTTCCTCAACACTTGAGGATTCTTTGCTCTCAGAATCATTTTCTCCAAGGGCTGCCTCAGATGCTAAGTCTTCTTCGGCTGCTAACACAGACTCTCTCTCACTGGTCACAGAGAGAGCCACGGGGTTAGAAGGTGAATCCCCGGGGCTGGAGACTGTAGAGATGCGAACTGGGGGAGAAATGGCTAAAGAACGTCTGCTGCCGCTGGAAAGGAAGGGTGTTCAGATTTAGAAGAGCCGGACATGGGAGTCATCTAAATGTCCACAAGTGATTATCATGCACTTGTGCAATAGTAAAACTGCATAAAGCAGTTTAAAACGGTGTTAGAAAGTTGGCATAACTGGCAGTCAAGCCTATGTGAAAAATGATGTAGGAGCTGGGTGTGGTGGCACATGCCTTTGAATCCCAACACTCAGGAGGTGGCAAAGATAGGCAGAGCTCTGTGAGTTCAAGACCAGCCTGGTCTACATAGAAAGTTCCAGGGCAGCCAGAATTACAGAGGGGTGGGGGGATGGGCTGGAGAGATGGTTCACTAGTTAAGAGCATGAACTACTCTTGCAGAGGACCTGAGTTCAGTTCCCAGCATCCATGTCAGGCAGCGCCCAACAGCTGTAACTCCAGCTCTTCAAGGATCTGACACATTTAGCCTCCATTGGCACCTGTGCTCATGTGCACATACCCACATACACACACAACTTACACATAATTAAAAATAAGGAGCTAGGGCTGGAGAGATGGCTTAGCAGTTAAGAACACTGACAGTTCTTGCAGAACACCCGGGTTCAAATCCCAGCACCCACATGGCAGCTAACAACTGTCTGTAACTCCAGTTCCAGGGGATCTGACAGTCTCTTCTGTCTTCTGTGGGCATTGTACAACATGGGTGCACTTACCTACATGCAGGCAATACATGCGTACACAGAAAATAAAAATAAGTAAAATGTTAAAAAAAAATAAGGAGCTAGAGATGGCTCCGTGGTTAAGATCACTGGTTGCTCTTACAGAGGACCCAGGTTCAGTTCCTAGCACCCACATGTCGGCTACCAACAGTTCCAGGGAATCAGACACCCTCTTCTGGCTTCCTCAGATATTGCGTGACATGGGTGCAATTACATACGTGTAGGCAAAACACTCATACATTATTAAAAAAAATTTTTAACGTGCAATAATTTTTAAAAATAAATAAATAACCCAGATGTGGTGGTGCATGCCTTTAATCCCAGTACCCAGCACTTGAAAGGCAGAGGCAGGTAGATCTCTGTGAGTTCAAGGCCAGCCTGGTCTACATAGTGAGTTCCAGGCCAGTTGGGGCTACAGGGAGACTCTGTCTCAAAAAGACAACCCCCCCAAAATTAAATAATAAATAAATAAATAAGGGGCTGGAGAGATAGCTCAGTGGTTAAGAGCACTGAGTGCTCTTGCAGAGGACTTGGGTTCGATTCCCAGCACCCACATGGTGGCTAACGACTGTCTATAACTCCAGTTCCTGGGGAATCTGATGCCCTCTTCTGACCTCCTCCATAAGTATTGCATGACACAGGTGCACTTACATACATGCAGATAATACGCTCATATATATTAAAAATAAAAATAATAAATACAATTTTAAAAAGTAA